AATCGGTTTTCAGCAATGTGTGCTCTGCACCAACGTGGGCAAAATAAGCCTGTCCAAACACTGCTGGACCACATCTCCCATCATCCTCTTCTGGTGATCAGGCAAGCAAGGGCTAATGAGAGTTGCCACCCAACCACGTTTGTAGGGATGCCCTCTGCTGACTGCTACTTCAACTTGTCTACCAGTGTCCATCTCCCCCCGAAGTCATCCCTGACTTTCCCCTTTTGTGCATCTGAGACCATCTGAGGTAAAGTTCAGGATGTCTTTTGAAGAATTCTACTTACACATTTGGGTTCTGGGATGCTAGGATCTTTCTTAATGATAATCTTCTTGGCTTCTTCCAAGTTCTTTTCACGGCGCAACTGGTCTTCTGCCTGTGGGTTGATTTGGGTTCGTTAAAGAAGTAATTCAATGTTCTACCATCAATAAAAGTATTCAAGGTACAAATCCAGAAGAAATATGAGTAATGAAAATCCTAACATTAACTTTCAGCAGAATACTGAGTGCACCCATATGTGGGGAGAGCTGTACAGCCAACATGCTGTACTGGAGAAGACTCCATGTATGGTCCCATGAGAGCTCAAGAAAGAAGAGGTCAAAGCTAATTACCTCAAAGCTGAGAGGTCAAAGCAGACTGGGTATGACAGGCTAGGCCAGCCAAAACAACCTGCAAACCTCAAAACATTCATAGTATGCATGGAAAGATGAGGAAAGAAGGGTTTCAGATTCCTGTTAGCCTACCTATGTGTTCTCTGATGAGAGGCACTGGCTCCACTTTGTTCCTCTTGTGGAGAAAAATTCAGTCAATTCACTTGCAACTCCAATTAATTCCTCATCATTGGCTTTGCTACCTAGGGCAGATCCTGTTCTGAAGGGCCATAAAGTCAGAAGAGACCACTGAGGCCATCCAGCCCAACCCCCTGCCATGTGGGAACATCCATCTAAGCACTCCCAACAGACGGCCATCCAGCCTCTGCTTAAAAACCTCCAAAGAAGGGGACTCCACCACCCTTCGAGGCAGCCTATTCCACTGCTGGACAGCTCTGACTGTCAGGAAGTTCTGCCTAATGTTCAGATGGAATCTCTTTTCCTGTAGTTTAAAACCACTGCTCCTTGTCCCTTCCTCGACGTGACATCCTTTCAAATATTTAAACATGGCTATCATGTCCCCTCTTAACCTTCTTTTTGTAAGGCTAAACATTCCCAGCTCCCTAAGCCGCTCCTCATAGGACATGGCTTCCAGACCTTTGACCATTTTGGTCACCCTCCTCTGGACACGCTCCAAGTTGCCAACATCCTTCTTGGATTGAGGTGCCCAGAACTGGACACAATGCTCCAGGTGAGGCCTGGCCAAAGCATCGCTTCCCTTGATCTAGACACTATTATTGATGCAACCAAGAATCGCATTGGGTTTCTTGGCAGCCGCATCACAGACTCATATTCAGTTTGTGGTCTACCAAGACTCCTAGATCCCTTTCACAGGTACCGTGGTCTAGCCAGGTGTCATCCATCCTATATCTGTGCAGTTCATTTTTTTCCGCCTAGCTTTAGGACCTTACATTTCTCCCCCTTAAAATTCATGTTGTTAGTTTTGGCCCAGGACTCTAATCTGTCAAAGTCATTTTGAATTTCAATCCTGTCCTTTGGGGAATTAGCAACCCTCCCCAATTTGGTATCATCTGCAAATTTAATCAGCATACTCTCTGTTCCTTCATCCAAGTCACTGATAAAGATGTGGAACAGCACAGGGCCCAGAACAGAGCCCTGGGGTACCCCATTAGTCAGCTCTTTCCAGGGCGAAGGGGAGCCATTTGTGGTCACCCTTTGGGTTCAGTGAGTCCACCAATGAGAAATCCACCTAACAGTAGCACTATCTATATGGGATGGATGGGCCCCTCAACCCACCCAGCCCATAACACCATACAAAACATATGCAAAGTGCATCCCATCAGAACCCACAGAGCACCTGACCGCCCTCAATCTAGAAAAACACAGTTTGGTTTTGTTTTTAAATGGCCAGCTGTGACAAACTGCTTAAAAGCTGTTTTCTCCAGCCCCGTGCTCATTACTTTAGCCCCTAAATGCCTTTTGTATATCAAATCAAATACAGTGGTGCCCCACATAGCGACGTTAATCCGTTCCGGATTAATCGTTGCTATGCAAAAACATCGCTAAACAGATCAAAAAACCCCATAGGAACGCATTAAACTTCATTTAATGCGTTCCTATGGGGCCCCAAACTCACCGTTCAGCGAAGTTCCTCCATAGCGCCGCCATTTTCGCACCCTCGGTAAGCTAGGGCAGGGCGTGAAAATGGTTGCTGCGGCCATTTTGGGTGTCTGGTGGCCATTTTGGAACCACCGATCAGCTGTTTAAAAACACTGCAATGCAAAGTTCGGTAAGCGAAACACTTACCGATCATCACAACGCGATGTTTTGCCAATGAAAACATCGCAATGTGATCGCTTTAGCGATCTGAAAAAACAGATCACTATGCGGATTCGTCGTTAAATGGTGCACTCGTTAAGCGAGGCACCACTGTACAACATTCTAGGCACTTCTGGTTTTGAATTATAGGCAGAAGTGATCCACTGACATCTAGGTGGGGCGTTATGAATCTGATTTCAGTAGGATGTGTTTGTGTGTGTGTGAGAGAGAGAGAGACAGACAGACAGACAGACAGACCCCAGTCCAGGCTTTAACCTAAACTAAGCTCTCCGAGGTCCCAAACTTATTTTGGAAATAGAGTTCAGCACTTTGGACAGCTCTAGCAAAATTAACACTAAAACCTGGAGCGGATCCACACACAAATGAAACTGGGGCCACTAAGGGCAGGGCAAAAAAGCCCTTAACAGCCGCCCATCCCTGACTGGATAACCCACATCCTATTAAACAGAAATGGTGTGTCACACATTTCCTCCATGACACTGTGGAAACCAAACATGCCCTTTCCTCATATTTTTTTTTGTTCTACAACAGTTCTGTAAAGGACAGCACATTGATAACTACGGCTCTAGTTATATGATTAATTGAAGGAAACATTTTAACACACTAGCTACTAACCAAAACACAACCATAATAACTGCATGTCAATCTGGTCAATTTTGACTTATGGCAACCCTTCTCTGGAAGTCTGGTATTTTTCTCTGGGGCCACGTAGCTTGCTGTTTTTGCTGGAGACCCAGTGGGGAATCAAACTCATGACTCCTAGCTCTACAAACAGGTACTCCAAATCAATGAACTATCCATACTCCCCAGGTACAGCATGTACTCAAAAAACACTCATACTATAGAATACACAGTGAGGCTTGCTTTCATCTCCAGTGGTTGGGAAAATAATCGCTTTCCCCATATAAGCGCTTATGTGTGTACACTAATAAATTGTCCCAAAAGCACTACGGAAGGGATGAAATTCAGGAAGACTGCATAAACAAGAGCCTCCTCGGATGGAGCATTTTAGACTTAAAGAGTGCCAATTCCGTTCAGCCAATGTGCTTACAGATTTGGAAATCAGCCAGTTTGCATTTTTTAAAAAAAATCTATCAATGACTTGTATTAGGCATGGCCAAAATTTTTCTCTCCGCCTCTGCTGTTCAATTTGCAATGACTCCTTAAGGCATGTAAGTAATCTCTTGACATCACAGTGATCAGAGAAGGGAGACATCTGCGAAGAAGTCCCACCATCTTCAAAACTCTGCTCATCTGAAAAGCATCATGCCGTTTAGTGCCTCCCCCTTTCACATCCTGGAGAAAATCAGGAGAGGGTATTCCGACTTGCCTTGATGTCAGCACAAGAAAATGCCAACTTACATCTTTCTTTTCTCTGGCTTCACTCTTCTGTTTTTCCCTCTGCCAGAGTTTTCTGACATTCTTGAACTGAGTTTTGGAAATAGTTTCCCATCTCTAAGAAGAAAAGAAAGACAATACTTTTACTTTCTGATGAGTGCACCCTTAAGAAACAAGGTCCACCTAACCCAGCATTCTGTTTTTAGCCACGGACACCCATAAAAAGGAAGCAGCAGGAGGCTTATGTGTACATAATATGCACAAGTAAACATACATATTTGGGTGTATGGGGGTGTTAATGGAAGGAAACACGTGTGGCAAGCAAGCCAGTGGGGGTGAATCCACCCTGAGGATCTCAGTGGTGACCTATTAATTGCCAGCTAGAAGCAACTGAATGTTACGTCATTTGCTTTCCGCAGGCACAACAATGCAACAGGATTTTGGCCACGTGAGTGACAACCAGTAATATACGTTGTCTGTTAAATTATGAATTGAGAAATTTTCTGGAAAATTTTCCATTGCTGCAAATAGAGTAAAATCTGATTTTGTAGATTTACTGGACTTATGTTTACCAAAAAAAAATCATAGTGGCTAGTACTCTGCTGGAATTATCACCAGAGGAACGGAAGTTGCTCAAATGGTCATGGCAATTTGGAGAGACGCCTGTTACACACCTGGTTAGATGACCAGATAGATACTCCTTCAAATAGCTACAATAACATCTGCCCTGCCTACGGTAATCCCAACAGATGATTGACCTTGATGTCCTATGTACATTTGAACCAAAACATGAGATCAGAGCAGAGTGTGTGAGACTAGAACTCAAAATATCTGGGTTCAAACCCCCACTTAGCTATGAGGTTCACTGTGTAGCCTTGGGGCAGCCCCCCTCTTAGCCTTTCATCCCTCACAGCGATCACGAGTAAAGTGCTACCTCCACTTATGAAAATCCCTATTTACCACGAGTTCCGGCCGCAAAATTTTGCTTCTACTTGCTTTTTCCTTTGTTTTCTGTGCATTTCCGAGCTTGTCCCTCTGTTCTCTGTGCATTTCCAATCTGCTCCGTTTGTTTTCTATGCATTTACAATGGGTCTTGCACGCTTGATTGCTTTTCTTTCCCCGCCCCCCTTGGCCAGAAGGGATTAATCACATTTCCAATGAGTCTTGCAGTGATTTATTTTTGGGTGATTTTTTCTTTGGCTGGAACGGATTAATTGGGTTACAATGTATTCCTATGGGAAATGGTGCTTCGACTTACGACCATTTTGACTTACGTCCCTCTTCTGGAACAGATTATGGCCGTAAGTGGAGGCACCAGTGTACATCTGAATCCTTGCCTCCTTAATGAAAAAATAACACGTTGGTGGATTTCACAAAACCTTAACTGGAACATTGAGGGTTGGGAGTAGCAACCCCAAGGAGGGGTTGTAAAAAATATTCCCAAACTAAACCAAACACGACTGTGTGTGGAAAGCAAGCCAAACTTAACAGAAGTTTTAGTTTTGGTTCTGATGTGGTTTGCACAACCAAAAAGTTAATTCATAACTCAAGAACAGAAAGTGAAGCAAAAATTAATGAGAGACTTTTGACTTGCTGAGCCAGAAGTTGGGATTTGTAACTCCGTCTAATTGTCATTGATGAAACTTGTAAAATGATTATTTTTCTCAGAAATGGAAATGTTTCCTACCCAGTAAAAACATTTTTACTTTTGTCATGCCTGAATTGACTGCGAAAGAATGAAATAAAACCGGCAGGAAAGCCCCCCCTCCCCCCAGAGAATATTCCTTCATTTACCTGGCCTTCTTTTTGTGAGTCCACATAAATTGTAGGAAACGGTTCCTTTCCAGCAGCTACCAAAGCCTTGGGCAGAAAAAAATGAACATTAGTTGCCGTTGTTTTGTATAGGATACCTTTTCCTTAAATTTGAACATAAGCCACCTACCACTTAAATGCAGCAGTGGGTTTTACGGCTGAGCAGGGATTCAAATCCAGGTCTCCTGAATCCTAATCCATCACTCTGTCCACTATACTGGGCTGATTTTACTGTCACCAAAATCCTCTGCCCTCCTTCCCGTTTTATTAAAATGGGACTTGTACTGTAGCCCCAACTAAAACTGGGAAGGCACCAGATTAGGGGAGACCGGCTTAGATCTGTTTCCTAACTGAATTGTGATGATGGCATCCTCTTCACTCTGTTTAGACATGAAAGAGAGCCCTAACAGCTCTGATGTAGGCAGTCACGTGAACGCACGCAGTTTCACACAGTCACAGCCACTGTGCAAATTCCTGTGATGTATATTTCTGCCTATATTCCCACAAAAATCTTGCCTAAAAGGAGCCGTGGGCTCTAAAACAACCACAGAATTTGCTCATCGATCACCCAGTTCACCCATCACAGACAGGACTTTCAGGGGAAAAAAATGAAAGTTCCAGGTTGAATGATGGGACTGGAGGCCATCCAAACGGCAGGAAGTCAAGAAGCCCTCTTCCCTGCATGTCCTTCCAAGCTGCTTCTTTGTGCCCTCTGAAAAGTTCCCCAAGCACTTTTGCAAGGATTTTCTGTGACTCATGAGAATGGGGAGGATTTCTATGACATGTCATTTTTTTTTCAGCAGCCTAGGTTTGAATTTATAACTGGGTTTGGGCATGCTTATGAGTAATCTGGTGAGAAACTCCCGATTATTCATAAACATGTTTGAACTTGCTTGTGGGCTGACGTTGCCCCCACAGATTCTTTAACCTAGCTGCTGGACGGGATATTCTGAGAGTCATACTCTAAAATATGCCATTTCTCCCCATCTCGGCTTCTCTGGACACAAAAAGCTCAGACTAACAAAGAGGTTACCTGCAAAGCAGTTTTGTATGGCTTCTCCGGTGTGCCATCTCCTGCCGTATCACACCCTTCTCGATCAGAGACGTAGACCTCTCCTATAAAAGCAGACAAAGATAGACACTGCTCTTTATGACATATATAATGGACACACCAGCATGCAAATGTGCACACACATGCACATACACGTACAATCAGGCTACCTTTAAATCAGACACTGTTAAAGGTCAGTAAGGCTAGATTAGCAAATCCAGGCAATTTGCACGACATCACTACACGTACAATCAGGCTACCTTTAAATCAGACACTGTTTGTGTACATAGTACTCATGTACTATGATATATCTTTGGATGTAAAGCCGCTCATGCTACATGATCTAATCAATTAACCAAAATGCATACATATAGGGGGCGGATGATTTGGTTGGGCAAAGGGGGAAAGGTTTAGATAGACTCTAAGCTCATTGGTCGAAATCGGCCACGAATCAGGCTACCTTTAAATCAGACACTGTTTGTGTACATAGTACTCATGTACTATGATATATCTTTGGATGTAAAGCCGCTCATGCTACATGATCTAATCAATTAACCAAAATGCATACATATAGGGGGCGGATGATTTGGTTGGGCAAAGGGGGAAAGGTTTAGATAGACTCTAAGCTCATTGGTCGAAATCGGCCACGAGATAGAGAGGATTTTTGATATATATTAATGTTGCTACCTCATTTATTTTTAAGTCCTTGGTGGTAATTTGCTGCCATGTTCTTCCCGCTGCTGCAGTGTCCAATAAAGCTTATATTTCTTGCACTACACCTCAGATTTGTGTCAGAGTCATTTATGCTCTGAGTGGATATTGCCATAACACTGTTAAAGGTCAGTAAGGCGAGATTAGCAAATCTGGGCAATTTGCATGATATCACCAGGAGTCATACTCCCAACATTTTTAATAACATAGAATATCTATCTATCTATCTATCTATCTATCTATCTATCTATCTATCTATCTATCTATCTATCTATCTATCTATCTATCTATCTATCTATCTATCTATCTATCTGTCTATCTGTCTATCTGTCTATCGATCGATCGATCGATCGATCGATAGATAGATATAGATATATACACACACACACCAGGTTAATTATAATATACTGTACAATCTATATATTATCTATATACAATAGAAATCATGAAGAGAAATATGTATACTCTGTGGCATACAGAGAGAGAGAGAGAGAGAGAGAGAGAGATTACATGGATGTGTGTGTAATGTGTGTGTACATACAGTATATACAGTATACACACACATATATACACATACGTACATATATATAGTACATACACACACATATATATGTATGTGTATATATATGTATATATATGTATATATGTGTGTGTATACATATACATATACATATATACATATATATACTATATGTATGTATGTACATATATATATGTAGATATGTATATATATGCATACATGCACACACAAGCAATATGTATAGAGAGATACTGTATTGTGATTACTATTTGTCCCTCAGGTTTAGTGTGCCACCTTTGTAAAACAGAAGAACTAATCAGTGATTTGTGACTCCAGCGTGGAAATAGAATATTGCAAGTAATGTTATTTGCAGCATGTTAGTTTTGGGGAAAACTTATTTATGAAACAATGGAACAACTAATAAAGATGAACGACTATATTTTAATGAAAGCTTTTGTCTGAATAAGTCGACTTGCCCACTAAAGCTCACATTAGAATATAGCACTGGGTCTTTAAGGTGCCACAACGTTTCTTGTCCTCTTTATTTTTTATTCTTCTTTTGCTTTGGCCTTGTATAAGGAGAGACAGAAAGGCCGAATATGTGGAATCCCCTCAATCAGAAGCCACTATCTGTCAGCCAAAAGAGCCCCAGCCTTCCGTTCCCGCCCCTCCTTTGGGATAAATTTATCTTCCGGGCTGAATCTCGCCTCGTTTTTGACACGCCATCGTTGCAGCAAGCAAGCAGAAGGCCCCCTTCTCCAGAAACGGAAGTGATGATGATCGAACCAGCAGAGAAAATGGAAGCCAGACGAACATAGGGATTCCTCCCCCCTTCTCCTAAATCGAATCCCACCATCTCCAGCACCGCATTCAAGAGCGATTCCTCCTCCGACACCAGGGCGCAACTGGGCGCAAAATCTTAACGCTCAGCCACGTTCCGTGCCCCGGGAAAGGGAAGGGAAGGGAAGCCCACCCTTGGGGATGGAGGGCGTCTATCCTGCCCTGAAACCGGGTCCGGCGGATCGCCTCTCCGCTTCTACTCCACCTCTTCCTTCCACCTTCCCAAACTCACCAAGGTTACCATTCATTCCCCGTCATCAAAAAGGGACGCGATGCAAATAGAGAATAAAAATTCAAGATTTCTTCTTTTTTTAAAAAAAATTCCCCAACCGGTTTTCCAGCCAGGGAGGATGCCCGAGAGCGGATCCCTCCCTCCCGATCACAGCCCCATCGTTACCCCCCCCG